TGAAATTAATTTAAAATCAATTAGTACACAACCTCTATTTATGTAGAATGATTTATGTAAAAATTACTGAGGTGAAAAGCTGAGAATGTTCACACTGCGAATGTTATAAAAGTACATTTTGATACTTTGTTTTGTGTTTTATCTGTTTAACTCACAGGCCACGCTCTCTCAAAGTTCCCAGGAATAAGCGTACAAGATGTAAGAAGAATAATCCGAAAAAAATGCAACAATGAAAACTACAAGCAAGCTGCTACTAAAAAGACATTGGACATTTAATATTTCTGCACAAAACCAAATACTGTATATGGTTAAAACCTGCTTCCCTTGTTCTGAAAGGTATGTGATTCTTGTGGAAGTTTCACAGTTCATATTTTAGTCTTTTTTGAAGTGTTAGTGCTTCCAGACAGGTTTAAAATGTGCTCTGTGAACTGAATCTTGGTTTTAAAAACAATATCGCAAATCTTGCAATTAGATTTGCGATATGTGAGCATAAATTTGGAACTGTTCAGTTGAGCTCAATAAAATACCGCAATCAATATTGGTCACATTTTTTTCAATATTTTTCACTTAGGAGCTAGAAGTATTACTAGGTTATTTGTAGTACACTTTGGGTGGCTGTGGCTCATGAGGTAGGGCACTTGTCTCCTGACTAGCAAGTTGGTGGTTTGACTCCTGGTCTCCCCGCATGCCTAAGTGTCCCTGAGCAAGACACTTAACCCTGAATTGCTCCCGGTGGCTTGACTAGCGCCGGTGTGTGGCAGCCTGTCGTCGTGAATAGGTGAATGGTGTATGATTTCCCTGTAAAGTTCTTTGGCCAGTGCAAGACACTGTGAGAAAGCGCTCTATAAAATACAGTCCATTTACTTGAAAATGTATATTTGTACACTAACCAGAGGACTAGAAGTTTATTATTAATATACTAATAGGAAACCTAAAAGGTTACTTTCAGTATACTTCAAAGTGTATTTTCATAAACTAAAATGGGCACTAGAGTTTACTGATGGTAAACTAATAGTATACCAAGATGATTACTTTCAGTATACATTAAAGTGTACTTACATAAACTAAAAGTAGACTTGAAATTTATTAAGAGTAAACTAACAGTATACCTGGAAGATTACCTAAAGTATACTTCAAAGTGTACTTTCATAAACTTAAAGTGGGCCAATTTAGTCCCAAGAAGTATACTTGTTAGTAAACTGCTAGTACATTTGAATCAGTGTACTTGGTAAATAAAAGTACACTTGGGGAAATACTTTAGTATACTTAATAACATGTACTTGAGGTATACTTCTTTTTGGTAAGGGAAAAGACTAAACTGCAAACCGTTTGTCTTTGGGAGGAGGCCTTATTCTTTTTTCTTTGTTTTCTGATGGACTGAGAACCAACGATTAAGGTGCATACTGCCTCTGACTGTATCACAGTGTATAAGTACTTAAAAAGTAAACTGAAAGTATACTCTCTCATTTTTAGTTTAAAATTAATATACTTGAAGCATACTTGCATATACTACTTTTTTGGTAAGGGTGGTTTGTCGAGGATCCCCTGAAGTTTGGGAATATTTTCATTGGTGTCATTGGTGTTGTGTGTGAATGCTGTATCGTCTCCTGTAAAGCGCTTTGGCCAGTGCAACACACTCTGAAAGTGCACTGTGGAAAAATGCGCTATATACTGTAAATACAGTCCATTTACCATTTTCACATTGTCTTTATATGCTTCATTTTCATTGAAACTCAGGTTTATTGACAGTGAATCTTGTCACCAGAGATTTATTCATGGTAGATTTCTGTAGTTTTGTAATGTGGACTCTTAGGGCCGCTGTTGACCAGAGTGTCGACTGAAGGCAGTACGGTTACACCTCCTATGTACCATCGACATGATAAAGAAAGAGCAGCACGACAGGAAAGATGGGACACTGTGATCGTGCAGACTAAATGAAAATCATACATTGGTTGAACTTTGAGTAGCTTTTGTTTGGATTACGCAGGCGCCAAATTCAACTTTTCATACTGGAATATCACCTTTACTGGATATAAACACGCTGAGCAATCTGAAGCAATTTGGAAAGAACAATGACGAGGCAAGTGCTGCTGTTCATATGTCTCCTCTCCGTCGTCTCGGTGCTCGGCCAGGTCAGTTACATTATTCCCGAGGAAATGGCCAAAGGATCTTTAGTGGGTGATATAGTGCAGGATTTAGGTTTACAAACCAAACGTCTTGTCTCCGGTAAAGCTCGAATTTATACCCGAGACAGTGAGGAGTACATCGAGCTGAACAGAGAAAGAGGCGTCCTCCTTGTTAAAGAGAGAATCGACAGAGAGGCGCTCTGCAGACAGACGACGCCTTGTGCTTTACATTTTCAGATTATTTTAGAGAATCCAATGGAATTTTACACTGTTGCAATCCAGATTGCTGACATTAATGATAACGCGCCGACCTTTAAGAAAGATGAAATCAATTTCAAAATTAGCGAATCAGCGACCACCGGTGCAAAATTTGTGCTGGAAAAGGCTCTGGATCTTGATGTTGGAAGTAATGGTGTTCATGGCTATGACATAAAACCAACTGATAATTTTGCTCTGAAAGTGCACAGTAACGCTGATGGAAATAAAAACGTAGAGATGGTGCTACAGAAGCCTTTAGACAGAGAGAAACAAGAGCAGATATCTCTTGTGTTAACGGCTGTAGATGGAGGAGAGCCGCAGATGTCAGGAACAATGATGATTCTCATCACAGTTTTAGACGCTAATGATAATGCTCCTGTTTTTACACAGCCCGTATACAAAGCTACAGTTACCGAGAATTCACCTAAAGGAACGATTGTGGCTACTGTTACAGCCTCAGACGCAGATGAAGGCTCGAACAGTAAAATAACATACTCAATCACAAATTCAGTAGATGATGACAGGAAACTATTTGAGATAAATGAAGAACACGGCGACGTTAGTTTAATTGGAAATATTGACTTTGAAGAGTCACGAAATTATCAAATAAATCTACTTGCAATTGATGAGGGAGGACTCACGGATACGTGTAAGTTGATTGTCGATGTGCAAGATGTAAATGACAACAAGCCTGAAATTAACATAATGTCAAAATCAAATATGATATCAGAGGATGCCAAACTCAATACAGTTGTTACAATGATAAATGTTGAAGACAAGGACAATGGAGAAAACGGAAAAGTGCAATGTTTCATTGGAGAAAGTCTTCCGTTCATTTTAAAAACATCCACAGAACATTTCTATAGTTTAGTGACAGACAGTGAATTAGATAGAGAGAGATCTTCAGAGTATAACATCACAGTGACCTGCTCTGATGAGGGAGTGCCCTCCCTCTCCAGCAGCGTCACTCTCACCTTACAGATCTCTGATGTCAATGACAACGCTCCTGTCTTTGAGAGGAGCTCATATGAGGCCTACATTGTAGAAAACAACACTCCAGGTCTCTCCATATTCACAGTGAAAGCCAGAGACGCTGACTGGAACCAGAATGCCCGTGTTTCTTACATACTGGAGGACTCCTCTGTTAACGGAGTGCCAGTCTCCTCATATGTGTCCGTTAGTGCTGATAGTGGAGTCATCCATGCAGTGCGCTCTTTTGACTACGAGCAGATCAAAGATTTCCACTTCCGCGTCAAAGCTCAGGATGGAGGCTCTCCTCCACTCAGTAGTAATGTGACTGTGAAAATACTGATCCAGGACCAGAACGACAACCCCCCTCAGGTCCTGTACCCAGTCCAGACTGGAGGCTCTGTGGTGGCTGAAATGGTGCCTCGTTCAGCAGATGTGGGCTATCTGGTCACTAAAGTGGTGGCTGTTGATGTGGACTCTGGACAGAATGCCTGGCTCTCCTATAAACTGCAGAAAGCCACAGACAGGGCGCTGTTTGAAGTGGGCTTACAGAATGGAGAAATCAGAACTATCCGCCAGGTGACTGATAAAGACACAGTGAAACAGAGACTGACTGTTATAGTGGAGGACAACGGGCAGCCCTCTCGTTCAGCTACAGTCATTGTTAACGTGGCGGTGGCGGACAGCTTCCCTGAAGTGCTGTCGGAGTTCACTGACTTTCCACACGACAAGGAGTACAATGACAACCTGACTTTTTACTTAGTGCTGGCTCTGGCTGTAGTTTCCTTCCTCTTCATCACCTGTTTAGTGGTTATTATATCAGTGAAGATCTACAGGTGGAGACAGTCTCGCATCCTGTATCACTCCAATCTCCCTGTGATTCCATATTATCCACCACGTTACTCAGACACTTTGGGGACAGGGACTCTCCAACACGTGTACAACTATGAGGTGTGTAGGACGACTGACTCCAGGAAGAGTGACTGTAAGTTTGGTGGAGCTGGTAGTCAGAACGTGTTGATAATGGACCCCAGTTCTACAGGGACGATGCAGCGGATACAGGGTGAGAAGAGCATCCTGGATGAACCTGACTCTCCTCTAGAGGTTAGGCTTACTGTATATTTCCTCTTTACACCTTTTATAATGACACTTCCCATTTTTATCGCATGTAGTTGTTCAGTCTGGACATTCAGACATGTTTGTGTTGGAACATTTTTTTGATGTTGCTTTGCCTTCACTCAGGCCTGTTATTTTCATTTTCATAATTGTAATTTATTACTTAAGTGCTTTATTGTCTAAATGAAGTTCTATTTTTGAATTGAATTTACATTGATTTTGCTTTTTTGTGGCTTAACCTGCTCTGGGACAGATGAAGAACAGCCATTTGTCACACTATCACTAAGCGTAATCAAAGTGCAGGTGGTAGTTTTAGTAGCCGCTGTACATATACTTAACCCTTGTGTTCTGTTAAGAATCATAATGAAGCAGTAGAAAACATAGGAAACATGCAGCCATGCCCTTACTAAAAAGAAGTATACCTCAAGTACATGTTATTAAGCATACTAAAGTATTTCCCCAAGTGTACTTTTATTTACCAAGTACACTGATTCAAATGTACTAGCAGTTTACTAACAAGTATACTTCTTGGGACTAAATTGGCCCACTTTAAGTTTATGAAAGTACACTTTGAAGTATACTTTAGGTAATCTTCCAGGTATACTGTTAGTTTACTCTTAATAAATTTCAAGTCTACTTTTAGTTTATGTAAGTACACTTTAATGTATACTGAAAGTAATCATCTTGGTATACTATTAGTTTACCATCAGTAAACTCTAGAGGAAGCAGGTTTTGACCATATACAGTATTTGTTTTTGTGCAGAAATATTATATAGCCGAAAAAATTGCAGCCTTTGCGATTTGCTGATTGTGACCATTAAAATTTCAATTTGATTGCGATTAATCTTGCAGCCCTAGTTTAAATGTTCTGAAAGGTATGTGATTCCTGTAGAAGTTTCACAGTTCATATTTTAGTCTTTTTTGAAGCGCTAGTGCTTCCAGACAGGTTTAAAATGTGCTCTGTGAACTGAATCTTGGTTTTAAAAACAATATCGCAAATCTTGCAATTAGATTTGCGATATGTGAGCATAAATTTGGAACTGTTCAGTTGAGCTCAATAAAATACCGCAATCAATATTGGTCACATTTTTTTCAATATTTTTCACTTAGGAGCTAGAAGTATTACTAGGTTATTTGTAGTACACTTTGGGTGGCTGTGGCTCATGAGGTAGGGCACTTGTCTCCTGACTAGCAAGTTGGTGGTTTGACTCCTGGTCTCCCCGCATGCCTAAGTGTCCCTGAGCAAGACACTTAACCCTGAATTGCTCCCGGTGGCTTGACTAGCGCCGGTGTGTGGCAGCCTGTCGTCGTGAATAGGTGAATGGTGTATGATTTCCCTGTAAAGTTCTTTGGCCAGTGCAAGACACTGTGAGAAAGCGCTCTATAAAATACAGTCCATTTACTTGAAAATGTATATTTGTACACTAACCAGAGGACTAGAAGTTTATTATTAATATACTAATAGGAAACCTAAAAGGTTACTTTCAGTATACTTCAAAGTGTATTTTCATAAACTAAAATGGGCACTAGAGTTTACTGATGGTAAACTAATAGTATACCAAGATGATTACTTTCAGTATACATTAAAGTGTACTTACATAAACTAAAAGTAGACTTGAAATTTATTAAGAGTAAACTAACAGTATACCTGGAAGATTACCTAAAGTATACTTCAAAGTGTACTTTCATAAACTTAAAGTGGGCCAATTTAGTCCCAAGAAGTATACTTGTTAGTAAACTGCTAGTACATTTGAATCAGTGTACTTGGTAAATAAAAGTACACTTGGGGAAATACTTTAGTATACTTAAAAAACATGTACTTGAGGTATACTTCTTTTTGGTAAGGGAAAAGACTAAACTGCAAACCGTTTGTCTTTGGGAGGAGGCCTTATTCTTTTTTCTTTGTTTTCTGATGGACTGAGAACCAACGATTAAGGTGCATACTGCCTCTGACTGTATCACAGTGTATAGGCTCATTGCATTGAATTACTTGAAACTGGGGGGGGGGAACAACAATATTCTATTTACTATTATTTTCTCAAAAATGAATCTACTTAATCCCCCATCAGCTTCTATGCTTTTAATACCATCAACTGCCTGCTGTTGTAGTGCCTGGGCCTGTTCCTTATCGCTGAGAGCTGCATTATACCATAGTACTAATATTAATACATTGTAAACATAGCCTACTCTGTTACATAAGTCTGTTACAAAAAGTCATGTATTAATAATGTTAAGTAAATATTAATTAATAGCATTAGTATGCTACTCAGTGCAGAAAGATTTTATATTATACAGTAGATTATATTATTACATTATTAGCCAATCACTCACCCAGAGGTAAAAGCAGGACTTGACTGTTGAAGTTGGTTGAGATGGAGCTTTACTTAACTATTTTGTATCCAAATGCAGACATGCAGCTACTGATTATTTCCATTAGATTAATCTGATGATTATTTTCTCTAACTGGTTTGTAAAACTTCTGAGAATAGTGAGATATGCCATGGCAGTGCTCTCTACACAATTATCAAAATAGTTCCACAGACAATGTGAAAAAATATTTCGATGGCACATTTTATGTCTCACATTTACTGTATTGGATTAAAGTTATAAACTGTACACTTACCTTGAGCTGTAAGGAGGGATGGTGTTCTCCAGGGTTTGTACTTTTGAGGTATCCAAGCTAATCCTGTGTTGGTAACTCACATTTCATTTAGCGATCACCCTTGGGAGCCAGGCTGAGTCC